GAGTCGAGTCTTCGCCGTCGTAAATTTCGGCGCATTAGGGGAAACGGAGGCCGGAAAAATTCGATCCAGCGAGTGTTCCGTGCCCTCGTGTGTGCCCTTATCGTTACCCGGGCAAGGAGGTTCTAAAAGCGTGTCGACAAAGTGCCGAAAAACGGCGGAAACCGCGGAAAAGCGGCTGCCAAACTGACCCGTCTTAACTCGATCGCGCTCGGTCGCGGAAAAGCTCTCTCGCGGCGTCCTCGGGAATTTACCGCGCGAAAAGCGCGCCGTGAAATGACGGCTCGTAAAGGGGCCTACAATTATTTTCAGCCGGATGGCGTGTATCTTGCAAAGCTCCTCTCGTCCCGGTGCCGCCAAAGTGCGCGCCTCGAACGGAACGGAGAGGCGATTCCCTTTATGAGCCGCGACTCCGCGTCGAGCAACACTCTCCTCGGCAATTTCCCCGGAAAATTGCGCCATTGCGCAGCGCCGCCTATCGCAGAGCGATTAACCCGCACTCCGGTGCGCCGTTTTCCGAAAATTAACATCGAACGCGAATGTCCTCACGTGCTCGATCCGGGGCTCCCACGTCGCTCCAGGAGGCGGAAGTATAAATACCCAGGGTGGAGGCGCGCGGAGGCAAGCAGGGCGAGGGTGAAAGGAAAAGTGCAACTTAAAAGGGGTTACGATGTTTCCCCCGTGGATGTGAGGGAAAAGGGAGGGAATTCGAGGGTAATATCATACAATGTACAGGTAACCGGGTAAAGGGGGGTACTTACGCAGGAGAGTACCGACAGGTGAAGGGGTGAAATCTAACGTGGTTCGGAGGTTCGGCTCAGTTTGAGGGCAAATACACCGAGGGCCACTTCGGTATCGCTAAATAATTCATGGTGCTGCCTCGCCGTCTACCCCAACGGCCACTTGGGAGGCCGTGGGAGACCATGGGAGACCCGAAGAGACCGCGAGAAATAACGAGAGACCCTCCCGGATGCTGCAGTAATCGATGGACCACCTGGATAACAGATCCCTCGTGAGGGGCATCGACCGACTTTCCGACACTTTCATCCCAGTCATCCAACCCTTCCTCCTCAAATTTGCTTACCCACAAATGTCCAAGTGACGGTACATTGACGGTTTCTTGATTAGATATTTTTTCGACATTTTTGCGACAGTCGAAATCTGAACGAAAAATATTTCCCTGGTATTCCGCGAGTCAGAAAGACGAATTTCGCTCGAAGCTTCGACTCGTCGTCGTCGGTGACAGCAGGGAAGGAAATGTCGGGAATTCGAGCGGGAACCGACATTTCCGGGCCACGCAGCCAGTTATGAGGAAATAAATAAACGGTATCAGAACCCATGGCCGAATGCGCCGGAAAGTTTCCACCCTACGTCTTCTTTCCCTCGAGCCCTCCCTCCCTTTCTCGCTGAACTTTGGTAATTACGCGAAATTAAACTCTTTAAAATTTATAAGGCGTCCGTTTGACACCGGCCGGAAAAGCCGGGACCAGGGACGAGAGGTCTCTTCAGGGTGGAGAGGAACTTGCGGAGTCACAGTTGGCACCGGAAGTGTCCTCCGGGATACTTCCTGGACCATTAAGCCGGGTTTCCAACAACTTTCCGGACCCTCTGGCTCGTCGAAATTTCAATTCACTGGGAAATCCATTTTTACAATCATTCCCGTAGATTTTAAAATTGCTCAAAGAAACTATTTAAGAGTGGATTATTTTTTCTCGGGTCAAACCTGTACGCGTAAATTAATGTAGATAAAATTTAGTTTCGAGGAGGGATGTACAGGGAAGTTACGAAGAGACATAAGGGGGTAGGTAGGAACGTGGAGTTCTCGTAATTCACGGCCCACCCCAAAAGCATGGTCATTACCCCGGAGAAACAGCCGATTTAACGGGGCAGGATGGTACGGAGGTATCCCTCGGGACTCTAAATCGGCTTTAGGGACGAAGAGTTGCGCGCCCGTGGACTCTCATCTATTTTCCCTATTTTTCATCCCAGCTCTCGCGGAGGCTCTCCTGATATGGAATGGTAAATGTCTCTTTCAATTTTCTCCCTGTTCCCGGCCCTGTCGGGAAGCTCTTAATGTCCGCGTTCATAAATAAGGCAGCCATATCCCGGTATTACGCGAACGCGAGAAACAATGACAACCCCGAAAAGAAATACCGGAAAAATAAGTGTTTCGCGAATAGCACCTGTGTCGAGTTAAATCGCCCTCAATGCTCAACTTTATGGTACATGGAAATCGGGAATCTCGGTTTTTCGAAAATCCTGCGAGGCCGAAATTTCGGGACGACGCGAGAGCGACGTTAATTGATTCGCTAATCGAATCAATTTCGCGAACACGTTCCGATGGCCGCACCTGTACATTTCCATATTTATTAACGGCAGACTAGCCGATCGTGGACGCTAATTTGTAGATAGAATGGATCTCTATTTTCTTTGCCGGGGGATGTAACCCACGCGGGTCGGAAACTCCTTCGGAAAAGAAGGAAAAGGGCCTCAAGAAATGTTTTCCTGCGTTTGCGAGAAAACAGGATATCTTGGGGTGCTCCTTTTCCCGGGAATATTTTTCTTCGACCTGGAAGAAGCCGGGCTCGTCGCGGAAGCCCTTACCCTTTCCCGAAGAGCGTCCCACGCGGATGTGTCGTTATCCTAACGAGATTACAGGCTCTTATCTCGAGAGGAGGCGTCGACACCGGGAAAGCCATTACTCCGGGAAAATTAGGAGAAAATTGGAAAATGGTTTGTGTAACCTGGGATGCCAATTACGAGGGGTGGAGGAAAGAGAGGAAGCCCACATGCAAGGTTGCACCTCTTCCTTTCCTGAAGAGCAGAGATCTATGAGGATCTCGATGTGCTTATATCCGGGCTTTACGAGGCCACCGGAAGTACTGCGGGGTCCGACATAATTCCCTTCTGGCGTAAAAAGTGAGGGTGCTCCATCCATTGAAGCCGTAACTCCACCTTACTTCCCGGAATCGCTCGAGTGAGACCGCTGATCTTTTTTATTATCACCAGGGAAGAATGTGCAGTGCCCTTTTAGGGGAGGACTTCCCCTACTTCCCATAACGCTCCCTTCTGCGTCGTGAATTTATCTAAATTGTCGCAATCGACTACAAAAATAAATAAGTAAAAAAGTAGAGGTAATTATATCCCTGCCGACCTAATTATAGGAGAGATGAACCGAAGGGTAATTTCCGCCCTGTGAACGGGACCAAGAGAGCGCTTATTTTCAGTCGGGTGAAAATTAAACTTTTCCTCGAAATGTTACGTTTTACCAAATAAATGCACTGGACCTTTTCCGTAGAACATTTTCCGAGCTTTCCTTCCTGTTCTGATCACTTTTGTCCTAGGAGGAAGTGGCAACGAGATACGAGCGAAACAACCCATTTTTCCGCACTAGGCGCCGCCGCGTGGCAGCTTCGCCTTCGATCAATGGGACCTATTAGCGTGTTAATTAAACGCATCGTTCTTTACGCCCCTCCACAAATTGTCTAAACCCCCTGCAATTAATTTCACGAAAAAGCCCACTCCGCGTAACCTAATTGCCACTAAGTCTGACATACTTCCGGGCTCCCCTGAATACCCAGGGCGCTCGGTCTATTGAAATCGCGATTTCACGGATCCGTTACGCTGAAACCGCTGGTTCTACGAAGGTGACAGCCTCACCCTTTTTAAAAGAAGACGTCATCCCCTCCCATATTTGTTACATAAATTTTTCTCCCCAACCGTTCATTAAAGAGTTACCGCCGAAAAACCTTCCGTTTGTCTCTTCACCTCTGCACTGCAAATCTCAAAAAAATTAAGACTCTACTTTTTATCAAGTTTCCCATTTTGCTATAAGAAAAGGAACGATAAGGGACGATAGGAAGACATCCCTAGATGTGTCATAATCACGGGTTCAGATGGTTTCATCAACGACGGTGGACGTTTGGCGACGTAAGCGGCTCCGATCAATCGGTCATTACGACCTCGCAAAGCCGATAGCCAATCGATAGAGAACCGATAACGTGCCGATAGCGAACTGACAGCGGGCCGATATTCGCGTAGGGCGGTAACGAAGGGAAAAATTCAGCAGGTTCGTTAGGTCCGATCGGTGGTGGTGGAAATGGCACAGGGGAGAAGCATCAACGCCGGCTTTGTCAAGGGGAAAGAATCCACCCGAGTGAATTTGATGATGTCAGCGGATTCGTGGTTGATTGATGCTCAGACCGCATTTAATACCTGCTTCCCTCCTCCCCCTGACTCTCAGGATTTGAGGAAATTGACTTCCTCCCTTGGAAAGTGGCGCATTCGAAAAAATGGATGGAGCACTCTTCGAGAGTAGGCCGAGCCTTTTGAAAAAATGTCTACTCCCACGCGAACGCTGGCTTACTTTTTCTTTCGTTTTGGATTCATCTCACTTTTTATCTCAACCTGGGGGAGGAAGTGGAATTTGTCATTCGGGGCAAAAATCCTTGTAGGTGGGATAAGGGGGGAGATCGGATGTTGGGGCGTCGTTACATCGCCCAAGGGGAAGGGCTTATGGCTCTTTAGCCTTCAACCTGAAACTGCCATAACGCGTATCGGTTAACGGTGCATTAACTCTAAAGCTGGGCTCGCCTCGGCCGTTTCGAAAAAGGAAAAGGGAAAGGCGAGAAAGAAATACTCACTCTATATCCAGGCATTTCCTCCTTGATTGGATCGTCGGCGTTATGGTCGGCGCGGCTAGAGGAGGCTTTGAATATCGCGATAACTTTCCCAGGGCGCGATATCGAGTTTTCCTTTCGACGTTACCTCTTTACGTGGATCACCTTTACGCTCCCACTGAAACTGGCTTTTCCCCGTAGAAACGCGCCAACTGCTCCCGGAACCGCAGTGGGTATAATTTAAAAAATAATTTTCGCCGCATAAAAAAATCATTAAATCATCCCTTCAGGGTAACGAAATTTAAATGTCGTTTCGCTTGTCCGAAAGCATTTTTTAATATTTTTATTAAAAACGTTCGGTTGATAAATAAAAATCAGATTTACCTGTAGGTGTGCAGGGAGTCCTCGCAGCCTCCACCAGGTCTTCGCGGCTCCCAGGAGGTGCCTCCAACATCGCGGCACTCCTCGAGACCGTCCGCAAGCACAGCAGGCTCAGCGCTGGAAAGAAAATGGAAAATGCTGATAAAAAAAAATGGAAAAGTCTGTTTCGTTCGCGATCGAGTCGGGCACACACTTCGACGAATCGACATTCTTGCGAACAACTCGAAGGAAAGTCCACGCGTTCCCTCCGAGCCCCGAGATGTCGAGCAGAAAAACTTTGAGCTGCGGAGAAATTCCTCCCCTGCGTGCTTCCATCTCACTCTTCCTACGTTGAAAAATGTGCGAAGAACTCCGAGAGGCGGGGAAAATCGAAAACCTGGTTACAGGGAGGAATTCGACCGAAACCGGTCGCAGGAAAAATCTTTCTCGGAGGAAACCGTGGAGGGTCACTTTGTTCCCCTCGTTAGAGCGCCAGGGCGCGATAGTGGTGTAATGGATTGGCTGTTCCCGTAAAGAGGGATTTTCTTGGCGGAATATTAAGGGAGAAATTGTTAACTTTGAGGGGGTCTCCAGGAAATCTCGAGAAACGAAAATATCGGAGAGGGAGATTTTTCAGAATCCAGGGATTCCTCGGGAGCCGAAGTCGGAGGCTGATCGGAATTCCGGCAATAAGTGGCGAACGCTTTCATCCCCTGGTCCAGGCGATCGAGATCCAAGTGGCGGGGATTAATTATGCCAGAGAGGGGACGATCCGGCATTTCGGGGTTCCCTCCCCTCAGGAAGCGAGCCCGGGCTCGGCTTATACATATTTATAAGGATCCCTCGTGGATCTCGGCGAGGACTCGGGCATGAGCCCGAAATCGCGGATCTCCATCCCGCCACTTCCGGGACCTTATTTCGAGGGCCTTATTTAAAAAGCCAGGTCGAGGGGTGCGCCAGGGTGGGATCGTATAATCGAAGGACCGACCCGACTTCCAATCTTCGGGGATGATCGAGCTCGTCCTCGACCCCTCGGGTCTCCCTTTGCGGGATCACGGGCTTCCCGGCTTGCGTGGATTTTAATTAAATTTTCACCAGCCCCGGGCACGTCGGGTATGCTCCCTTAACGCGTAATAATGTACGCGTATCCTGCAAGCCTTGCCTGGGGAGGACTCCGAGGGGCGTCTTCTCCTTAGACCCTGAGAAATTTGCTTACTCGGCCCCTTGTTTGCTTAACCGTTGGACCAGTTGAACCGTTTGTTCCGAACTACATCTCGGGATACGTTTCCTCGAAATTTTAACATTAGATTAAATTATACCATATACTCCGCAAGGCTTGCCGAAGGGGAATAATCCGGGCGGAGGGTTCTCTTTACATCCTCCGCTCACCTGGGCTCTTATGTTTCGGTTTGATTTAATTTTCGGACGAGCTAACGTTTCCTGTTATACGGCACGATTCGCCTTTTTGTACATTTAAATGGGGTGAATTTAAATTTAGGAAAATTATAACGTGGGGTCGCCTAGAGGAATTAAAAGGAAAAACGTGTTTTAGGGTGGCTCGCGGGGGGCGAGGGTTTTACCGTGAAATAAGGGTCTCATGTTTAGTCGTAGAATATTACCTTAATGTGTAATAATGTAGAGAGGGTGTATCGGGCTAATGTCCTGGCCGTACGTGTTTCCGTTCGACTGTGCGGAACATCCAGGTCGAGCGGGCGCGATTAATCCCGCGAAATTACGAGCACCGGCGGAATCCGCTTAGGTGACGCATTCGCGTTTACTCCACAGCTTGCTTTCTGACTTGCTCCATGACTCGTTCCATGACCCGGGTCTCCTTTCCAAAAAATGCCCCCCGAAAAAAGCCACCAAAAACGGGTGAACGTACACTTTCGGGACGTTCAAAAGATCGTCGTTTTTTGACCTTTGTAATTTGGTATATGTCTCATCGTTCCGGGTTTCGTACCAGGGCCACTCGTTTCCAAAAAGCTCTTTCTGGAAAATGCTCGCAAAAATGACACCAACGTAAATCTCGCCTCTCCTGCCGCCTTTGGAAAGGCTTTCATCGCCGCTCTGACTTTCACGACTCGTTTTACGAATAGCCCCGTAACGCGTCTCTTTTCAAAATAATTCTTTTTCGAAAATGCCTCCGGAAACTGGACAAGACCTCGTCTCATCTCGAGAATCCTTCGTCTCTCTGGGAATCTTTAGGACTTTATCTAGTGCTTTCGGCTTTACGACTCTCCCTCCCGCCATTAGTCAGCCCCCGAAATGCAGTTGCAAATTGCAGTTGGCCGATCAGCAACGATTTGTCGGGCAAAATAATTCCCAGGGCACGGGATCGAAAAGAATTAAATAAAATATCGGACGAAGAATGGATCATGAATTCCGAGGGTATTTTGTCAATGTCCAATATCGCGCTTGTCGAGGGATTCACGTAGCTGATAATGGCCGGGGGTATGAATGTCAAAAAACAATGCGAATCCCTCATTCGCCGAGAATATTTGGCCGAATGGCACGTGTATTTCATACGCCCAGAATACACGATCGTTAAACTGACAAAACAACGATGTCACGGCTTGACCCTGTGTACAACCAGCCCCGGTCCCCCTGAAACTGAGTAACAATTTGTTGCACGGACCAACAATAAGTTTGTTTTGTCAGAGGCTCGCAAATAACTCGATGGGCTCTGCCGAAGGTTCGGAGTTCTGCCTGCCGGTAAATCCATGAACTCTCCTTGCCCATATAACGTCATCAATTGTCCGTGCCCATTTTATTAACCCCTCTCGAGTACCTCGAAGCTGCCCGAAACAATGCGACTGGAACTGCAGGATGTACCATTTTTTTATTTAAGAGTTACAATTTCTATGGTACCCTTACGTTATAATTTAAAATTGTATCCGTCTTTCCGACATATCTATTTGAAACGTGGAAACTGTATTCATAAATTTTTCATTCCTCTCCGAAAACATTTTGAAATCCACCGCAGTGGGCGAAAAATTCGTAGCGGTCTTGCGACCGTGAGCTCCCACCGTGTAAATATAATAAGAAAACAGCAAACAGAAAAAACTGAAAATACACTCGGCGTCAACGTGGTGTTTTTTCGGAACTCATCCGGAGTCTAGGGGAGTTTACTAGCAGGCTTGGCAGGAGCTTCCGAGTGTTGGAGTCGCGATGAAAAATTCCGAACACCGACTCGGCCATCCCGTGGTCGGCGAGGGCCGCTGCATATTCATGCGAGCACTCGCTCGCTATTTGTTCTTCCATTTGTGGCCACCGGGCCATTCCGACGCCCTTTTTGACTGCGACCTCGTGACGAGGCTTCGTTTCGAGATTAAACTCGATTCGCCATAATCCCCGCGAATTTCCCAGTTTTTTTCTCACTGGGTCGTTTTAACCCCCTCGAGTCCGACGGCACCCCAGGCTCGTCATTCGCTTCCCGCTCGAAACGGAACGGGAATTTGAAAAATTGGTTCAACGAAGGAATCAATTTTGGACAAATTTCTGAAGATGGTCTGGTAACTATCCAAGTATTTCGAAGTCCTTCGGCTGATCAAAAATCAACCCTAACTACTGAAAGGGGAGCGAAATCGAATTGGAAATGGAGCTTGTATTTTTTTTTTATGAATATGCTAATGAGATTCTTAAATATGCTTTTCGGAGGTTCTTGGGAATTGTTCGCAGTCGCGGTCAAGCTTTTAATCCAGGGTAAGGACTTTGCTCCCATTTTAAGTCCTAGATTCGGCGCTTCCTCTTGGAAGGAGTTCGTTCTTGGCGACAGAAGTCGCTTTGTCTCGAACTCGTGCTAAATCGCCTGCGCTCGCCAGAAACGGCTCCTCCTCGTTTCTTTTCCTATCGTTCGTCCTTCGCTTTTTATTTGTATAGCTCCGGAGATCGATCACCCTCGTCCCCTTTCCGAGATTCCCTCCCCGCGCCAGGAATCCCATCTCGACGCGACCCTTCGGAACTTTGTCATAGGAAATGACCAGCCCTGAACGATCACCCTTTCGTTAGGGTACGTATTTCAGGGGATAACGTAAAAACTGACAAATCGGTCGCGACTTTACGACGCCCTTAACCGGGGATCCAGAGAACCTAGTGGCCGTTCGAAATAAAATCCCGAAATATTTCAAGAATTCTAGAATCGGTTCCAATGCCTCTTCGATCCATCTCCCTCGTGAGCCACAATCGACAATAATGATTTTTCTAACATAGCCGGAAATTTATTTGAAATTCCCAGACTGCAAGAACCACTCCGAGGGGGTCGCGGTTTGCACCCCTCGCGTCCAGGTGGAACATACGTGAACTAGAATTCAACTGCAGAGTGGAGGTTCGGAATTCCATCATAGGTGGTTGGGAATTCACTTATAAAAATGCCAGTATCCCCCATTTTCCTCCCCCGGGAGTGGACTTTCGGGACGCGAGAAGAATCCAATTTCGACGATTCAATTCCTGGTTAAAAAGTCACCCCTCTGTGTTGCTTGTCCACCCCTTCACATTTCTTTCATCCCAGGGCTTTTGTTTCTCGATATCGTTTATCGAGGTTTGCATAAATTTAATTCTTGTACCTCGTTTTAATATCTGCCGAATTTCGTGGTATGTCTGGAGAGTGTATTAGCAAAACTACTCCTAGGGATTGCATTAGGGTATTCCTGGGAAATACTCACCCCGCTTGACGTCTCGCCACGTGCTCGTGATTACGTCGAGTGTGGGCAGCCGCGATGTTTCGTCGGCATGCACTGTAACCCCCCTTCACATCCTCTCAGTACTCCTGGGAAACGATCAACCTGCAACGAGATTGCGAGACGGATTTTAGAAAGGCATGTAAGTCGAAAATAGAGATTTCGAAAGTCTCCCTCGAAAAGAAAAATTCAATTACCAAGTAAAAGTGACGTTTCACGCGTCTAAGTACTTCGGGTAAATTTAGCACGATCGACCGGTCGATCTGACGGGCGATTTTCAGACTCCTCTTCGTTTCCTTTCATTTCTCGGACGTCTCTCTAGGTTAGATGGAAAGCTCGCTACCGCTCTAAATTTGCCAATTCCTCGAAACCATCCTTCTTCGTTATTACGATTTCCAGAGTACGCTCGGTGCCTTTACGAGACTCTTTAAATTTTTCAAAGCATGCTGAGACATCCTCAGGTGAACGTCCTGGTGACCTGCGTCGAGAAGCCAAGTTTCGGAATTCAGAAGTTCAAGACCGTCATTTCTAGCAAATGGTTTCCCAAGATCCACGAGTTGCTCGAGGATGTAAGAACCTCCTACTCCTGATCGGTTAAGAAGAAAAAAAATTACTCGATTAATTAATCAACCTTGCGATTCGTTATTCACGCGCCGAGAAGTTCGACGATCTCGAACCACCTTTCACAGTCTGTGGAAATTTATTTGAGACTCTGCAGACCTTGCAGATTTTTCTGGCAATTTTTTCGCCCGTCCAAGTTTGATTAAAATCCAGATGTGAGGTCGATAATGGAGATAACGCCCATTGTGCCTCGCACAGATCGATGGATTTTGCGATCAGCGAGCTCATCGCATTTACTGGCGAATCACGGAGCTGGATTATCTGCCGATCCGTGATTACATCGGCCTGAAGGGAGCTCTGAATCTGATGCACGAACCAGGGTAAATGCCGAGCAATTAGACCGGAAGCGGAAGAAGCTACAGTAAAACCTCTCATGTCGGATCCGCCGGTATTACGCAACTGGCGCAAGTGGTGTAATAAAGGTTTTGGACGAGAAATGAACAATGAAAAAGAAATTCTAACGGTTACCCTCGGTTGCACTCCAAGTGCCCGGTACTCGATCTCCGCATATCAGTGGATGGGAAATAATTGCGAATGGGTGGATGGGAAACATATCTACTGGAAGTATTTTTGCGAGTCGGTAAATTAGCGATTATGTTTACAGATTATTCGTCGTGGTGGACCCGCCGGACGCGGAATCCGCAAAGCCGAAGGAGAATCGATTCGACGGAGGTTCATCCAATAATGGCGGAAACGAAGAAGCCAAGAAAGCGGGCCAAGTCGAGTTTGGGGAAAGCTCTCCCACGTGGGAGCTCGAAGATTCCCTGGATGGCTATTTCTCCGACATTCAAATTTTAAGAGTACCTCAGAAAGCCTCGAAAGCACTATTTTGAATTGCGCAAGTTTCCCCCAAGCGGTGCTTTTCGCATCCCAAATTCCCTGCGGGGCGTGCAAGTTTGTTTCCCCCCAGAGTGAGACAAAAACGAGAAAGCTGGGCCGAAGCTGCGAATTCGAAAATATTCTAAAAAATAGTAGTTTGCCCGAATGGAGGTTTTTGGAAAAAAAAATTAGATCTTGCTTTATGTCAACGCAACCTTTCCAGTTAAGCGCGGAACCTACGACTCGGGAAACCTCGAAAACAAATTTCTATGCAAATGAGCGCAGCCCTCTTATAATAACCTGCCGCTTCCCATTTTGGATTTCGCGGTTCCACGTCAAATCTCGAAGCCCGAGGCCAACTTTGACGGCAGTTTTTCATGCAAATTCTGATTTTTCTGAACCCGAGCCCGGTTTCCGGATTTCCGGGTCACCGTAGTCGATTTTTAATATTGTCGGAAATTATCTAAAAAATGTAATCTGGGTAAAGGGACCTCATCCTCGTTCGTGTTAATTCCAGCACCCCGCACGCCTCTGAACGCACACCCAAAACTTCCCCCAGAGTTTCCGCCAACCTTCGCAACTCGGAAAGTGGAAAGCGACGTTCTTGTTTCGAAATCAAACTCTGCCTACTAAGCCGTTACCATTTCCTAACTTTGTTCCTTTGCTACTTTGTTCAGTGTGCAGCACCTTGTCACGCACCCGATTCGAGGGCGCTCTTTAGCCACCTCTTTGCGAAGAGTCCTCCAATATTTACCCGAGAGGTCGAGAATATCGAGCGACAGCTAAATATTCTTTCCAAAGGTAGAAATTATGTCTGTCAAAATCTTGGAAAATCCTGGTAAATCTTGACTCGAAGAGTGCCGCCCAAAATTGCGTTCCAATAGGCTAAAGAAAATTCCTGATCTTTTTCCCACAAAGTATTCAGTTAAAAAATTATATTTTTAATTAATTACGCGTGTAGGGAAATTTCCACGGAAATTCGAGCTTTCCCGGTTTTTCATTCCAATGTCACCGACAGCCCCTAGGCTTTTCCTCCACCCTGGAATTTCTTTCGTTCGGGGGGATTTTCAAAATTGTTTCGCGGTCCGGCCTTCCGTTTTCCCACACGCACGAAAGCTGGGCTTCCTTTTCCCCACAAAGGGGGGAAATTTTCCGGTGCAAACCGCAGTAGATGCATTTAAAGCTCGCCGGGAAATTGCTTCTCTACCTACGGGGAGTTCCGTTATTACCGCGCCTTTTTACCCCGACGATTTTACCAAGAGGACGTTTTCCTAATTTTTTTTTTTTCCCACGCTTTGCCTACACCCGCAATTGTCGCGATGGGATAATTTTCGAGTCGCTCCGTTTCCCCCGAAGAATCGCGAGTCTGCAAGGAAAGAAGCTTTCGGATTTTCTTCCGAGTTGGAACTCCCTTCGTTTTCGCCGGGCATTCGGAATTGTCTTGGGATCCGTCCCTTTGATTTTCCTTGGTATGTTCGCGACGGTGCACGCATGGAAACACCCCTTTTCTCGTCGAGAAAGGGAATTTTCCCGTCGACGAGGCGTAGACGTATTCAACGCCCGTTGGGAAATTGCTTTTCCACCGGTAAAGACGTATATTTCCAGTATTTTCACTTGGCGACTTCACCTTGGATCCGCAAATCCGTAGCTTTCCCGCCGCCCCCTTTGCCTCCTCTTTCCTGGCAGCTTTTCCTCGTTCCTTCCACCCCAGGGGTAAATTGAATGGCTTTGCAACGTAGAATGAGAACATCTAATACGGCCTTCTGCCTTATTGAAACTCGAATCCCCCACTTTGTAAGCGCAGCCAATTTGTCTCCCATTTTCTCGAAAATTTCCCGGATAATCATTAATAATAATTCTCATCCTTGAAAAATCAGGTGCAAGGGAGGCCCTCGATGCAATTGCACGGAATTTTCCAATCACATCTCGCTTCTTCGCGTTAAATTCAATGGCTTCACTACGTGGAAAAAATGTAATAAGTTCTTCCGATTATCGAGTTTACCGAAAGCCGAGTTTTCTAGCCGTCAATTGTCCGCTTTTCGTAGGTTTACGTGTAGGTTGCAGATTGTAGGATTTGCACGGGCTGCAGCTCGCAGAAAATCGAGCTCTCGCTTCGTTGCACCTGTATGCAGTTTCCGCGGCCACGGAGCCCCCTCCTTTCATTCTGCATTAAAATCATCCCCGTGTGCAACGGGACGCTGTAAAGCACCCTCGTGGGGATATCGCACGCAGGGAAATGTCTTTGTATCGTTTTCCCCCGGGGGAGGAAATTTCCCGACTAGGGGTGCAATAGATGCACTCAATGCCGCTCGGAAAATTACTTCCCTAGAATTTTCACCCGGTGACTTTTCTCCTCGGATTCGCCTTTTGCCCCGACCCCTTTGTCGTCTCCCTTTCTCGCTTTCTCGTGGTAAATTGAATGGCTTTGAGTAGAGTGAAAGTACCTAATAAGATCTTCTGGCTTATTGAGGGCTGGATTTCTCAGCCGGTTCTTCGAACCGAGAATCCTTCCCGAGCCTCCCCAGGACCCCTTATCCTGATTCCCCATCTGGAAACGGCATCGCTAAAAATGGACCGCGTCCTTCCGATGCCATCTCGTTCTTTCTCGAAATTAATCTTCGAGATGCACTTACCTCGATCGAATTTCTGTCTCGCATCCGTTCATTTAGACGCGCTTATACCGAATCTCGATCCAGAACCGACTTCGCTGAAATTTCTAAAGATGGACCATGTCCTTCCGGTACCGATTGGCTTCTACGTCGAAATTCATTTTTGAGAGGCACTCGTCTCGATTAAATTTCTGTCCAGCGTTTTCCCCTCCAGACCGACGAGCTACTTAATTTTCTTCGTTCAGGTTTCCCAGGGAAGAAGACTCGACCAATCCTACAAGAGTTCCAAGAATGGAAAATCACATCTCGGCCGAACACGAAATCCTCCAAATTTAAACCTTGACCCGGCAAAAAGGCTTTCCATTGACTGTTTTTTTCCGAAATTTAATCCTACCATACATGTATACCTCCTGGAATCCGACGAAGAACCCGGAAAATAAATGGGAAATATGTCTAAGTGCAGCAATTTTGCATCTCGTTTCCATCGAACTGGAAACACCGGGGAATCCTCGTCATGATTTATCGAAATCACAGAAGCTCTCGGGCGAATCGTAATTCTTCCGAATGGACCGACGATCATTAGCGGGATGAAAAAGCGGGCTCGCCGGAGAGCTCGGAAAAAAAAAATGCCAGCGGTGGATTTTTTTCGCCGGAGTACTTCCGTTTCCAAGAGGCCCACTCGTCTCATTTAAAAAATTAGAGTGGCAGAAAACCGCGACTTGGTCCACGGACCGGCCAAGAGGGAGCAAGAGTAGCGCAAAAAGCGCTGATTAAATTCTATCGGACGTCAACGAATTCTCCGATTTATCTGGATCGCGATCATCGCGAAGATCATTAGCGGGCGGAAAAACCGAGCCGGAAAGCCCGAGGAAAGGGGATGCGACTGCCTGCTCTTCCTCGGCACTTTTCCCCGCCGACCCCTCTTCCTCGTCGCGTAATACATTTTTTATTAATCTTTTTACCGGCGCCCCGTTGGCAATTTCGCCCCGCCGCCAGTGATTTATGTTACGAACCTCCTAACGCAAACGCGCCCTTTCCGTTCGAGCCATCGCCGTT